GTACACTTGCGACGGTTGACTGCATGCCCCCATAAATTGTAACCCCCCGCATGTGTTGCTAGGTCAGATTAGGCAGGATGAGGCTGGGTCCGATTCTCAGGCGTATTTGGTATACTGGTGTACCCTCATCCTCCAATGATATCTCACTAACTAAATCCTAGTAAGTCTTGACTAAACTGAATGGTTGAAAAACTGTAGTGGTGGCTGCAGGCAATGATTATTCTAGCAGATAACAAAGATCTGCTTGCCTTGAATATAGCAACTCTCCATCCCCACCATTTATACTTAGAGGCTTAGACCTAAGACGAGTATTTAGGACCATCATAATCACCCCCTGTATCCTGGAGAAACACCGGGAGACTAGAAAGGTGATATAAAAGGTACCTGAGTTGATGGCAAGGATTAAATAAAAAAAAAAAAATATTATATCTATACAGTATATTGCCTGTATATTATAAAATATTAAATTAGTTACAAATTAACAAAGTATTTTTTTACTATATATTCAATTAATATTTTTATTTAAATACAGTATATGTATGAAAAATTTTATTATATACAGTATAAGATCTTTATTAATCTGCAAACAAGATGAATCTAATAATTATTCAAGATCTGAAGTGATTTACGATATGGTAGACGTCTGATCTGCTAATTAGGATATTCTAAGCATGGAAACGATCAAATATTTATTTCTATTAGTAGTAAGCGTATTATTACTAATGAAACGCAAATACGTAATGGTACGCCGGATATTCTTTTGTGAAAATATATCACTATTAATGAATTATTTAAATAAAATAAACTACAAATACGTGTACATACATATAAATAAATTTTCATTTATTTTATAATGAATAGAATACACTCTTTTGCTATGTTCTTTGAATCTTGTACATATTAAAGTAATAATGATAATAATTAAACATAATGAACGATGTGTTTATAGGAAAAAAAATTTTTAAAGTTTTTACAGTATAAAATAAGGAAATGAACCACTATTAAATAGTGACTCGGTTCTTTGGATAAAATTTTTTACAGAATTAAAAAAGTTGGTGAAAAAATTAGGAATATAAATACATTATGCATATACTGTATAATATTTTCTATAATATAACGTTTAAACTTAGGTTTGTTGAAGTTGAAGTTTCTGTTGATAGTTCTTAATGTGAATTTGAGTTGCTCCTCTTTTCAATTGTTCTAAAAAGACGAAGGTCAAACAGAAATGAGGACCAATTCGCATAAAATGGGTGCCGAAACCTCTAAAAAGTGATTTCCATCCTTCGTTCCTTATAATATTCGACATGATGGAAATAACTGATTTGTTAGACGATGAGGAAGTGTTATATAAACGAGTCCTCCTGTACATTATAATTAAAATTTAGAATTAGCAGTTAGTTACTGTATACGTTTAAGAACAGAAAGCTATTCTAAAATACTTACACAACATCTAAAGGATTCATGAAAATAACGCTAATAAACGCGCTTATTAAGCTACATTCCATATCTAGAAGAATACCCTCACTAAATCCTTCTCTCTTAGCACGATCTTTCAACATAGTGTAGGAAGACAAATTTGCAGCACTCCCCACAATTCCTCGATATACGGAAATCATTGACCCACGATATAAGCCTCGAATTCCACCTTCTTTAGACATAATGTTATATAGAGCGGACGATATTGAAGAATATCCGTATTGATTACCAACCGCAATAGCACCCGCGGCTGAACTTTGCAAACGAGTTTTTACCAATTCAAATGGATTTGCGCTAACAGCCCCCATAGCACCACATAAGCCACCGGCAATCATTCTCTTATAAGCTGGTGCCGAAGATGTAGAATTTGAATCATCCGTAGGATGCATAATCGAAAGGATCGGATCATAAAGGCCCTAATGAAAATCTATTAGCTTCAAGAAGTAATGGATTAACCCCATAAAAATAAATTCATTATAAGCACTCACCAATCGAAAGACGTTTTTAGAACTTTCTTTTAGAATAGAAGGCATAAGACCTTTTTCAAGACCTCGCATTCCTTCAAACTTATAAGTCTTTAACAGGCAATCAAGACTATTCTTGTAAACCTGATCGACAAATGAAAACGTCAAAATCTCATATTGATTTAATTCGTAATGATTAATATAAATGAATGTTATCTACCTTTTCAGCAACAACCCGGATTGTTTTTCCGGAAAAATCCTTAACAATTTTTACTTCACCTTGAAGTTGCATTCTAACCTTGACAGTATCGAATGGCAAAGTAAAAACAACTGCCATGCTTGGTGCCAAGGCACTCATTGCGAAATTTTCAAGTTGAGAAATGTTTGGCCGAGGCGGAAGTGTTTTAAGAGGTGGAGCTGAAGAAAGGGATGTTTGATTGGGCGACGTAATATTTTGAGTTGAAATGCGCTTAGCTGATAAGTTTTGTTGAGATTTCAATGTAGCAGACATATTGATGAATGATAATTTTTGGAGTAGGGATGATTGATTTTTTCTGTAGGTACTTTAGAATAGGCGTTTTATCCGTCTCCTTTTCAGATACGTGTTGTTTTTAATTATCATATAACAGTATATAACAATAGATAAGAAGGTGAAAAGAGAAAAAAGAAAAAAAAAAGAAAAAAAAAAATCGAAAATTTTTATCAACGAACTGGGGTTTCGAGGTAACGATTATATATAAAATTTCGAGAATATTAAGACTATTCAAATATCAATCTACATTTTATATAAGGGTATACAAATAAAAAAAAAGTTTTTTTTTTGTCATAATGATGCACTACAAACTAGAATAAATGTGTCATGAAGGCTGTGACAATAAATTATGCATCCGAGAATATCCGTGCCTCTGAGTGTGAAACCGCAACCTACCTTCCATCATCACACGGATTTAATCTAATTTGGTTAAGGAACTTGAAATTCATCACAGAACTACGTTACACGGGAATCCTTCTCAAATTTGAAAAAACCATCGTATGACCAATTATACCGCATTTGTCATTTGAATGCAACGTTCCGATTGCACTGAAGTTTATTTTTCGACCATTATGTGTTTTTTCCACGGATATTTTTGGGTTTACAGGATTAAACGACTAGCAAAGAATGGCGTTAGCGCTAATTTAGTATTTTTAATAAACAGTAAATTACCCGAATATTCAACATAAAAGGAAACTGGGCAGAGATAGTATGATCGATAATTTAGGTTAAAGTGGCTTGCAGATTTGCGTTTCCTGACGATTTAAACAGAAAATTGGCGGTTATTTTTTCGGGGTACGAGCGATGACTTACAATTCTAAGAAGACAATATCGGATGAATGATGCACATTCCCTTTTTAATTGTATTTTTAAAGATTCAAAATTCAAAATTACAGTATGAGTCAAAAACAATTGGTCATTATTTTTTATTTATAATTTGATAATTAATAATTTAAATAAGTTTAATTAAAAATTATTTATTGTTTTTTTAATCTTCAATTAGATTGGAGTTACTTGTTTATTAAATCAAATTGAACCATTACAGTAAGAATTAAATGTATAAACCTACTTGATTCAACTTATTCATTAATAGCATTGTTTATTTATTTATTTTTTTTTAATCCCACAATCAGGTTGGTGTCATTTATTTATTAAATCATAAAGAACCATTACATGCATGAGAATACATGCAAAGTACAAATTTTCCCAACCCAACTTACCCATCTTTAGCCGAAGCCTCTAGATGCGATTTATGGAAGTGATGTATTGTTCTCCTAAAGGATGGGATCAAGATCCCAGATTTCTGATAGGATCAGCATCTGCAGATCACCTCCACAGTCACAACCATAAATCCAAATTATGTCACCCCCCTCTTGTAGAAACTACGCAAGGGGAAAAAGGAATAAAAAATGAATTTTTTGACAAAGAGAAAAGAAAAAAAAAGCTATCATCTATTCTAACTATCATTGAAAAGGTTATCTCAGTGAA